TTCCAGTTCCATCTCTGCCTTGGCCTTCCTGACTGCCCCCCTGCATCTCCAAGCAACCGCAGTATAGTCCTCCCTGGTGATGGCCCCTCCCTTCCATTGGGTGTACGCCTCCCTTTTAGCTAGGAGACATTCTCGGATGCTTTTAGTGATCCATGGGGGCTTTTGAGCCCTCCTGCTCCCTTTGATCCGTGTTGGGATTACCTCCCTTTGGGCTTGGAGGATCGTCTCCAACTTTATGACAGCATAACATTCGACAGCTTTAAAATGTTTTTAAGGTAGCCTATAAGAGGACCCCAAGAAATGAAGAGAAGTACCTGACTTCCTCTGATGGGTAAAGCTTGAATTCCAACCCTGTTCTCATCAATTCTTACTGACTGGTATGGGCAGTTTCCTGTTCAGCCATTTGGCATTAGTGAATTTCATTCTTAGCACCTTACCTGTCCCTATGCATCCTATAGTCAAAGATCCACCTGAGTCTGGCTTACTGGCTTAATGTCGTTAAGATGCACTGTTTCTGGAGTAACACCACAGAGGAAAAGCATAGCTAGCATCACATCCGGTCACTTTTTCTTCTTCAGCCAGCCTGACCAGGTATCCATTCACATCTGGTGAACCATGGATGGCTTTTGGCACTGCTTTAGAAAGAAGCTCTCATTTGCACCTCTACAGCTCTCATGAGATACTTTAAGCATTCTGAAGCTGCACCCCAGTGACTAATTTAAGGCTGAGGATAGTTTTAGCCTCCAGAGTATGGCAACGCCTAAATCTTAAGTGTTAATATCTAGCGTGTATTAAAATGTCCTTGTTATACATGATGTTTTATTTATCAAGTAAAGAGCTTATAACTGGATTCAAGATCAGGTAAAGAGCATAGAATAGATAAACTGGAGAAAACTGTCAGATCAGAGTAAGACTTAAGTAAAGCCATATACTTAGAAATATGCATGCTGACCTATGTAAGTATCTAATGGTGGAGTTTGCTCCCAATTAATTACAGTTTTTATTTGAATATAAAACACGATTTTTTTCATCCAATCAGTATGGGGGGGAAAGCCCTTTGTCTTGTATAAGCATACAAGCAATATTCATTAAACATGTCATCTATCATTAATCTACTACTAGAAGCAGCATATGTTCAATAATGGAAACCAGCTATGAAGTTAATTGACTGCAACCCATACTAAAAATGCCTGTAAAACACATGACCTATGCTAAGCAAATTTTTTTCAAAGAAATTTTGTGTTCCAAGCCAAATCGAGTGCAAATCCGTGAGTTAATGCAGAACCATAAGTGGCTCTACAACCAGCAAACATCCTCTACCCCCACCAGGGGATTCAGATATTTCTGAAGTCTTTTGGCAGGCATCCTACATGCAGGCCCAAGCCCAGAGGCTTGGGGTCCAGATGCCCCCAAGGTTAGTCTGCCCTCAGCCATATGGCCACAGAAGCAAGCTAGGGAGGAGTCTCCCATTTCCATAAAGTGGGCTTTAGGCCCCAACACCTTGGTGGGTACTGAACCACACCAGAAGAACAGTTATCCCTGGGAACTGCCTTCATGGACCCAGATACATGTTTGTTGGGGGGGGGTTGTAAATGTATATATGTATATGTATGTATGTGTGTGTGTGTATACACACACGGGAAATGAAATATGGGAAATGAAAGATATAAAACCAATCATGTTTGCTGTAGGAAATTTAGTTATATAGATTTATATATTATTTTGAATAAGCCAATTTGAAATGGTTGGCATAGTCTAGGCCACTGCAGTTGTCTAACATTTTCCAGATGAGTTGAGTTTAGCCTTGGCTACATCAAGAGCAGAACCTATGACTATGAAAGATCAGTGTATTAATTGCCCACATCAGTAGTCATGGAAGTTCTAGGTGGGTCCTTGGTTGACAACCTGCAGGTAGCAGATTGCAGCAAAGTCAAGATACTCTGTATACATCTACATGTGAAATTAATGGCAGCAAAAAAATCCAACACATATTGCTCTGGAGTTTATCGTTCCCAGGAACCACATTTACACATGCACCTGGGACTCCAGCACGTTGAGCTGGGTTGGAGCAGCCCCAGTGGGCAGGGAACCCAGGGGATCAGCCTGCCAACCTGGAGATGCTCAACCCCACCTCAACATGCTGTGGATGGGCTGGCTAGGATATGCATGTGAACCCTTGTGTACCAGCCAGCCCCAGTAGTGTCTACACATGCATTGATGAGAAGTAAAAAGCTCTGCCATAGGATAGTATGAGTGTTAACAAGTACTAACCTATGGCAGAGTGAATTTGTTTACTCCATCTTAATAGCACTGCGTGTATAGATGCTGAAACATTTACTGTGGAGCTAATTAGGCAACTGCAGTAAACATCTCATTTTGATGCACCCTCTGCATACAATATTCTCTTGTGCCTGGTTGCTAGTGTAAGGTAACATGTTGCTCAGATAACAGTGCTATCTGAGTACATGACAAATTTAAACTTGCTGTCAATTTGATGTCCATTTAAAGTAATTCTACATTTTTGTCTATAATTAATGTTGTTATTTTCTGCTGACCATTTTGTTTTACAATCCAGACTCGGTTTCAAATATAGCTTTATTTTTACAGTGGTAAAGTGTCTGCCAGTAACAGCTCCAGAAAATGGAAGAATTGTCATGTCTGGTACATACGAGATGGACCAAGAATTTTCCTTTGGACAAGCCATACGGTTTGAATGTAATGCAGACTATAAACTTAAGGGAGACAGAGAAATATATTGCTCAGCTACTGGTGATTGGAGTCAGGAGGTACCGCAATGTACAGGTGAGAAAATAAATGTTTTTTACTTTGCTAATGTCTGTCTTTAGCATATGTGATTTTGAAAGTACTGTTGCAACTTCCTGGCCATATCTGCACAGTAAACATTGTGAGATTGTGTGTCTTTGGCAGATTTACTGTGCTCCAACATAGTATCCTAAAGCATACTGTGCTTTTCCAGACAGGCTGCACCCGAAATTAGAAGCAGCAGTCATGGCCATACAGTGCTTAAACTGGGCTTCCAGTAATTATCCCTGATGAGTTACCTTACCAGTTTTCCCAAGAAAAACAGTTTCCTAAAAAGCCTAACCATGGCAACAGTACTCCATCAATCTTAGGAGATACTGAGCATGTCTACATGTGCCATTAATACACAGCAATAAACTGTTGAGCAATAAACTGTAGAGTTTATTGCTCCTCAGTTTATTGCTCCTGCGAAGCTTCCAAGTACACAATTTGTATGTGCGCCTGGACCACAGCTCATTGAGCCAGGTTGCAGCAGCCCCAGTTGGCCGGGGGTCAGCTTCACAGCCTGGGGCTGCTCTGACTGATCTCAATGTGCTGTGGATAGGCTGGCTGGAGCACAAGGGTGCTTCTCTGTGGGGCTAGTCAGCAGGTAGCCCCTGCACTGAAGCACCCTCATGCCCCAGCCAGCTGGCTTGGCATCTACATGTGTGCTACTGTGCACAAGAACTCTTCAGCAGGGTAGGACTTGTATTTACTTGCTCCCTACCATGGAATTTATTCAGTTTTTGTGTCCTAATAGGGGACTGAGATGTTTCCTGTGCAGTTAACTAGTCAGCTGCACAGTAAACATTTCCTGCAGACCAGTTTTCCCAGAACAGCATAGTGTCCTTGAGGATGCCTGTCTTGAGCACAGTAAATTGATCACATGAACATCATCTCCTTATGGTGGTAAAATTCTCATGAATTTGTTGCTACACGTGAGTGACAGTACTAGTTAAATACATACTCCCAGAATAATCATTTATTATGCATTAATTAGTGTATTGATGTTCCAATTCTTCAATTCATCCTGCATGTAAAGAAAATAGTATAATGCAGGGCAATAAAACAATTTTGTGGTAATGGATTAATCTCAGGCCTTCACTGTAGCCTGTACATGAACACTCCATAGAACTTCACACAAGTACAAAAATGGAAAATGAAAGTATTTATAATCAAGACTGTTTATCATTTTTTGCTTGTACCCAATAAGAAATGGACCTTCCACAGTCCAAACATGAGCTGAACCATATTTCTTCATATGCATTTACACAGTGGTATGGTAACTTCCACTCACCAGGCATGTCTACACAAGATGCTACATTGCCATAGCAACAAGCTTTGGCGACATAGTTTGTCACTATGGCAAAGTAGCATCAGTGGGCACCAACTGTGACACCACCACTACTGTGCAGTAGCAATAGGGTTGGAAACAACCCATGCACCACTGGGACAGCACAGTACTGGCATGTACTGTGCAGTCATTTAGTACTTACTAGAGCAAGTACTAAATGACTGTGCAGTACCAACTGCACAGTGGGGTGCACGTGTAAACATGCCCACTCACATATAACATGTTGCATAATTAGTTTCTATTGTGTTCAGCGGTAAAAGTAGAGTGGAGTAAATGGGGCAACTAACCCAAGCGCTGACTTCAAAGGGTGAAAAAAAGTGGCTGCTCCTGTCTGCTGGACAATTGTGATCGTGGCAGCAACCAGAAGCCACTGCTGACCCTGCATCCTATATGCCCACCTTCATTTGTACACCACTGGTTATATTGAATTTTACCATTGGTTATATTGAAATATATTTAGGCTGTGTATCCTTTGAGGTTGTTTGTTCAGTAAAGCACATAACAAACATTTAGGGTTTGTCTGTTTTTGTTTTTTCTTAACGTATGCCCCAGCGTTCTTCCAAAGAAAGGAGATTGTATTCTGTTCTTAAGTATTAAAACATGGTAAATTTTCATTTGACCTGAAATACTATGACACAGCACATTTTTTGTATCTTCCTTCTAAGCATATCCTTGCTGTAACACCACACCTGACAATGGAATATGAATTCCTTTTTATTTGAAAGGAAACTCATAACAGTCTTCCAGTTTCTGAAAATAAATGAATCAATAAAACATTTTGCTTATGTGGTTTTAATAAGGAAATTAAGACTGAGCCCCTGTTGTGCTCCAACTCCATAGCCTAGAGATCAGTGCATTCCCCAGTGAGAGAGGAATCCTAGCAGAGGAATCCCTGTTCTAAGAACTAATGCACGCATTTTATCCAATGACTATTTCTTCAAAAATGTGTAAGAAGTCCTGGGAGTAAGGACTAGAACTCAACTCCCTTCTCCTTATGAGTGCCCTAATAATTGGACTAGTGAGCACAAGAAGCATGAGTCCCTCTGTCTGGCCCCATGAATCCTATGATTTTTCCTCCAAGTTTGTGCAGCTTGAACAGGAAGCCTAGAGAGTACTTCTAACCAAGCTTAGTAAAGCACAAAACCGTAGCATTCTTTAGTGCTTAGAGAAGTCTCCTAGGAAAGTGGGAAGTGAAGGTTTGAAACACCCTCAGAATAAGGTAATTTGACTTATTTTTCTTTTTTCTTGGGTGAATGCACTAACTTCCTATATAAAATGCATTCAAAATGTATAATGGTACGAGCCACCTTTTTGGATGAAGATGGCCGTACATACTTTGTTTTGTGTGGAAGCAAATGCTGCCAGGAGCACTGCCTACCAAATTAGGCTATGCAGGTACCCAGCTGGAGGGACATCTACTGTGTAGATACCACAGAGGCTTAGAAATGATATAAAAGTGCTGACCCACTCACTTCTGGCAGGATGATGGTAACTCTGAGTATGAACTGGAGAACTCTAGGTTTCTAGGCTACTTTCACTGGTGACAATTCAGGGGTCAAAGTTTGGGCCTGGATTATGAAGGTTGCAGTTTGGGGTTTAGCACCTGAATTATGCCTAACCCTGAATTTAGGTTTCTGAATCCTTGTGTGGGTTTGAGCTGTATTTCCTGCTAGAGGTATGAGTAATATTACTGACTAAAACAGATTTAATAAGTTCCTCATTAACATAACACAGTTAGAACATTCAGGTGAAAATTTAAATTTTGTATTTTTTTTAGTATTGCTTTTATTCCAGCTCAGTACTTATGTATTTTGTTTCTCTTATATTTAGAAGTAACATGCACCCCACCAGTTATTCTGAATGGAGAGGTAATGGTTCCAAGGAGACTTTACAAGGAGAAAGAACGAATACAATTTAACTGTGATACAGGATTTAAGTTCAATGAAAGATCAGATGCAGTATGTACTGAAGATGGATGGAGACCAGCCCCGTTATGTATAGGTCAGCTTTTGCTAATTTTATATTGTACATTATGTCAGATTTCTGTGTCAGTATATTTTCAGTGATTAATGCAGTCAATGGAAGTTGGTAAATCTAACCACAAAGAATATCAGGTGTGTCAGCAAAATGGGAGACTAAATTCAGAAAAGCAATGCTGAAAGCATTAAAGCTTGTTTAACGGGTAGGATGTGTGGTTCTGGGAAAATCTCTTTAAGAATTGGGTCTTCTTCTAGTATGAGTTGCAATTGTTTGAGGATTTTCTGTACAGGTTCCAGGATAGGATGGTACGTTGTAACTAATGGTGTGCAATTTATGGGGATTTTCTTTTTGTACTGCAGCAATTCTTCACATGGTATCTAGGTAGCTCTTTCAAAAGTGTGATCTATCTCTTTGTAGGACTTTATTGTTGAGTGAAAGCCCTTTTGAGATTTGTGAGGTGACGAACACAAGTGTTTTTCTCAGTGAAAATTCGGTGGTATTGAAGAGTGTGACTGTGCGTTACAGCTTCCTTGGTGTGTTTAGGGTGACTGCTGGTTCTGTGAAGATATGTATGTTTGTCTGTGGTGTTTTTTGTATACGGTAGTTTGTGTTTTACCATTCTGGATAGTGATCATAGTGTCTAAAATGTAATGGTGGTGTTGCAGTATTCAAGAGAGAGTTTGATGGAGGGGTGATGATTACTGAATTACTTATGGAACATCAACTAGATATTACAGATTTTCAATCCAAATGATGATGTTATTAGTATATATAAAGTATAGTATGGGTTTGATGGTGCAGTTTGTGGCAGGCCAATAGGGTGTGCTCCTGCACAGAGCTACCCACCTCACTGCGCCCAGCCATCCTGGCTCTGAGTGCCTCCCTGGGGGCATCTCACATTTGGCCAACCCCCTTCCTGGAGCACGCCTGCTAGCGTGGGGGTAACGCCGTCACCACCCAGGGTCTGGACTGATCCTGGCTCTGTGCCCTCTGGGAAACATAGGCCTAGTAGCCCTTGAGGGTACTCGACCTATTTCAAGAACCTGGGGTGCTTCCCTAAGTCTAAAGCACAAATAGTGGTCTCCCTTAGTCAGCCAAATCAAGGGGACCCCAAGGCATAATCTAGACCCACTCCCAATAAGTCTCCCATGCTTGGTACAAAGGAGAACTTTATTGGTTACAAGGAGTAGGTTTGGAATAGGGTACAGGGTAGAGTGATATCAAATAAATCCCATAGAGCAAACTGGCGTGGCTGGGTAGCCTTTGATTACGCATCTGAGCTACTGCATGCTATATATTTAATTAGATCTCAGGTAGCTTATTCATGAGTATCATCCAGAAGTAGGTGGAGATTCCCTCTGGAAGCAGGCACTTCATTTCATAGATTTCATAGACACTAGGGCTGGAAGGGACCTCGGAGGTTCATCGAGTCCAGCCCCCTGCCCCTGGGGCAGGAAGTCAGCTGGGGTCATAGGATCCCAGCAAGATAAGCATCCAAATTTCTCTTGACGGCATTCAAAGTAGGTGCTTGAACCACCTCCGAAGGCAGGCTGTTCCAGACCTTGGGGGCTGAGGCAGTAAAGAAGTTCTTCCTTATGTCCAGCCTGAAATGGTCTTGAAGGACCATTCAACCTTGTCATCCCTTGGGGCACTCTGGTGAACAATCATTCCCCCAGATCCTAGTGAGCACCCTTTATAAACTTATAGGCAGCCATCAGATCACCCCTGAGCCTGCACTTTTCCAGGCTTAAGAGTCCTATGGCTCTCAGCCTGTCATCATAAGATCTGTTTTCCTGACCTCTCATCATGCATATGGCTCTTCTCTGGTCTCTTCTAAGATTCTCTACATCCTTTTTGAATTGTGGAGCCCAAAACTGGGTGCAGTACTCCAGCTGCAGCCTCACCATGGCCACAAGGGGAGAATGACATACTGGGATTTGCTTGAGAAGCATCTGTGGATGCAAGCCAGCATTTTGCTTGCTTTACTAGCAGCAGCATCACACTGATGGTTCATGATCATCTTGTGGTCAATCATGACCCTCAAGCCCCTTTCATCCATAGTGCTAGCCAGCGTAGCACTGCCGAGCCTATAAGCATGCTGTGGATTTTTCTTCCCAAGGTAGAGAACCTTGCATTTTTCAGTGTTAAACACCATCAAGTTCTCATCCACCCATTTCCTGAGCCTGTCAAGGTCATCCTGGATCACCCTCCTGTTCTCAGGTGTGGATGCTTTACCACAGAGTTTGGTGTCATCAGAGAACTTGGCCAGTCCGCTTCTGACTCCAATGTCCACATCATTAATGAAGATGTTGAATATAGGTCCAAGGACAGAGCCAAGGACATTGATCATGAGTTCAAGAGACAGAGGAAGTTTCAGATGGTCCATCTCTTCTCTCTTTGAGTTTTTATCATGGCTACTGCTCCTCCTCATGGGCAGTCTTTAACTTATATAGACCTTATGACCTCATTTACCTGGTCCAATTAAGGCCAATACCTGTTGGCTGCCAGCCAACTAATTTGAAATGCATCACTGGTTGCCGGGTAGACTGGCAGGGTCTCTAGCCCCCTCCCAGTCAGGTTGGCATTGCTTAGAACAATAGGGAGCGTATTGCTCTAAGCCCTTCACCCATGTATGCAATGATAGTCATGTAGGCAGAGAGAGCAGGTTTCCTCCTTCCCTCAGGAATGTATCCAACTCAGGTTACCTAGAGAGATGGGATGTCTGTCCTCTGCAGGGACCATGTTAACCAAATTGTCACATAGCAGAGTTTTGGGGGAGAGACAGAGGTGGTGTTCTGCCACAAAGTTCTTGAGGAATTCTTCTTCCAGGTGGCTTATAACAAGGTTGTCATATTATGTGGCCATTTTGATGCCCATGGGCTGGAGGAAGTGTTGGTTATTGAAAGTGAAGTTGCTGTGTATGAGGACAAAGCATAAGTTCAGTAATTTCTTTAGGTCTGTACTCTTAAATTGTAATCTTGCTTTTGTACATATGTAAGGCAGGCTTGGATGCCATCCAGGTGTGGGATGTTGGTCTGTGGGTTTCTTACATAACGTGGTCTGTAATTTATCATTCTGGATACTGATCATCGTGTCTAAAAAGGAGATGTTGGTGCTGAAGTATTCTAGAGAAAGTTGGATGGAGAGATGGTGATTGTTGAATTTCTGATGGAACTCTATCAGAGAT